TCATTTTGAAAACATGACTAAAAGTGACGCACCAGTGGCGATTACCTTCAGACATTTAGAATCACGTGATTCCGGAAGTCGAAGCACTTATATAGTCTGGGGACCAAATCAGCGTACAACGAACAGTTGGAATTGACATTTTATATGCAAACCACGAATATGTACAAGGAATGTGGAGATGGAACCGTCAATTAAGGCCAAGTTCAGCTTTTACCGCTGAAAGCGCCTGCTGAAACGCCCAAGTGTTTTTTATGCGAGATCTTTTGCGACGCTTCTTCTTGACACCGCTTTTCAGCTTATGCTGGGTAGGACCAATAGTAGGCGTCCTGGTCTTCTTTTTGCATGAAAGAGGATTTGGTGCATTGGGGCGTTTCCTGCGTCGCTTAACTTCGACCTCGGTGCGGAGTCCAAACTGTTCTTCAAGAGCTTTGACCACGACACCCTGGAAAGGAAAATGATTATATCTCATACAGCTCTAGTCTATCTTTACAGCCCGAAGCGAAGTAAACTCCTTATATTCCATGAGCTCTGGAATGAAGCGACGTGACTTACATCTTCAGAATTACTCACGTACATGTAGCATAATGGGTTTTTTATGCGAGATCTTTTGCGACGCTTCTTCTTGACACCGCTTTTCAGCTTATGCTGGGTAGGACCAATAGTAGGCGTCCTGGTCTTCTTTTTGCATGAAAGAGGATTTGGTGCATTGGGGCGTTTCCTGCGTCGCTTAACTTCGACCTCGGTGCGGAGTCCAAACTGTTCTTCAAGAGCTTTGACCACGACACCCTGGAAAGGAAAATGATTATATCTCATACAGCTCTAGTCTATCTTTACAGCCCGAAGCGAAGTAAACTCCTTATATTCCATGAGCTCTGGAATGAAGCGACGTGACTTACATCTTCAGAATTACTCACATACATGTAGCATAATGGCTAATGACATTTTTTTCAAGAAAATCAAGCAGGTTTAGAAGTAACCACATACCTCTCCGAAAGCAGCTGAGTTTTCCAGCAAACGGGTCACGCGGACTGTGCTTCTTAGGCTGGACTCACGCATGGAGCAGTGCCTGTATGAAACAGCTTAACATGCCTGCAGTCCATTTCCTACGTACTCACATAGAAACTACATCCAACAGTCGTCAATGAAATGTGGAAAAATACGGCAATTGATCCAGTCTTCCGTGGATTATGATTAAAGCTTGCTGTGACACGGTACTTCTAACTTAATAAATTTCTCCTGGAAATTGGTGCAGCACCTCAAACGCGCTCCAGTTTTGTGATAATGCTTCACTATCGCACATGAAAAATCGCAGGTGGGTAACATAACACACTGCTCATGAGGTTGATGAAAACCCTTCGAAGGCCCACTACGGGTTTCGCCCTTCTTGGTACTCACCAACATGACCTACTCCCCTGAATTTCAATCAAATTTATGCTCACTTTGAATACCAAACTACACATTAGTCAGCTGAAGAATACCATTGCCTGGGTCTTCGATAACACCTACTTAACTAAATAATAATAACGAATAATGACAAATAATTAATTCGTCAAACGAACTATTGATATTAACAGGGAGTAAAAGCCACTAACCTCTTGTTGTGTCACCGCAACGGATTTCTGTGCCTTCTCCAACAAAATTTCTGACACAGCCACCGGCGCAGGTTCTAGATTGAATCGCGAGTGGGCCACATAAAAAATTGGCATCCCTGGAACAAGGCGGGCGTAAGCTTGTATAGAGTCATCGTTGGAAGCCACTCCAAACAGAAGACTTCGACCATCACATCGCGTCCCCTTGTTAGCCGTTCGAATTCGCTTCCTGATGCACCATGGCGCGCTTTTTGATGGGTCGAATGGATGCTTACACTTCAAAACTTTGAACTGACGGAGAACATTGAGAGTTCCGTGGAAAAATTCCTCAAGTGCTTCGCACTCGCTGATGACACACGAAGATGTCACAAGTTTCACAGGTATCTTTAAGGAACTTGCGAATTGGTCTTTGATGCACAGCTTGTTCAACAGCGCCTGGCAAGCAAATGTGTTGTCTACGAATATTTCCAAGGGATCAAGATTAAGTCCAAACTGCTGGGAGTACACATCCAAAAGTCTCTTGTAGCCTTTCAACCGTTTGATTTTCATCTTCACTGAAAGCGAAATGGTCGTTCGATTCAATCTCAGATGACGCAAATAAAGTAAAAAATATTTTGATTCCTGGAATTAATTGACCGTCGCATATCCACAGCCGCACAGGAGCGAATGCGCTTGAGATTAAAAATCACGCTGAGACGGTCTTGTGTTTCGTTTGGCGGCATTCATAAAAATCTACGAACAATTTACCTTCAGGAACACCTTCGACGGATCGTTTATCACAGCTTATGGCAGAAGATAGCGTAGAAGAAGCAGCACGGAAAAACAAATAATAACAGAACAGAGAATCGAGGATTAGACACAACAGCGCCCGTGATCGTATGATACCATCATGTCTATGAGTGTCTCTAAGCGTTGTGCTGGGTGTGTAATACTCAACCCCGCAGACGACATGCACCAGTGATGTTGGGATCCCTCGTTTTGATTTTCACGCTCCGTCTTCAACTTAAGCTTCGCGGTAAATTCCAGTAAACATGGCAGGGCGAGGCAATCGATCGTACGCGGAGCAACATGGGCGAGTGGACCTAGTTACTGCAGCCGAATCAACTCATCAATGGGACAAAGCAGCTGATTTGTTGTTAAAAACACTCGTTGCACACCAGCATTCTTAATTCGATGTTTCTGTGATTTATGTGCAGTGCGTAGGGTAGCCAGGCATAACAACCATATAACAACGCTGGATGTGTTGACGACCCCGCCTTTTGTTAACAAATTAATGTAATGTCGACTTCAGAAGTGCCTAAGTTGAACGAAAGCAGAACGGGCTCTAGATAATCTAGAATTCAGTTCCTGAACGATGCTACTATTCGAAGTGATACAACTATCTAGATGGGTGAGTCTATTCAACACGAGCACATTTGGTGATACAATTTAGTGACAGGGTTCTGCACGTTAGGGATGCAAGTAGCATGCTAAATAGTACGACATAGTTATTTGAACCCCATATTCCAGGTCTTCGAAATTTTCCCCGGAAAGAGGACTCATGTCAAGCAGAAGTCATAGCGGGTGTTCTTTCGGTGATTAATTTGGTTAGCAATTCGAAAAGCAAGGGTAACAAAGGAGAGCTATTGGTGATGAAGAGACTGAGTCCATCACGAAAATACTGGACCTTACCGCGGTGTGACGGTCTGTGTACCAATTGAACTACACTGGAGGGTGTCCGCGCAACACTCAGTCTCTCATATCAGGTTGGTCACTTGGTAAAGTTCTGACGAACAATCTTCTGGCCTACCACGTTGGGGGTTGGAACATGTGTGGCGACTTGTTCCGTAGAAATGGAAATAAACTTGCATTTCCGGCCGGTTAGGATTTTGAGCCGAAAACCTTGGTTGAGGACCCTAATCATCTTCCTCGTGCTTCCTTTGGATGACATGGCAGCTAGGCACCGAAAGAGTGCCGCAGCTGAACTAATCGTCCTCCTGTCTAAGTGTGAGCGAGATGGCTCAAGTGGTTAGAGCGCGAGTTTACTGACCGGAAGGTCCGTGGTTCGAACCCGACCTATGCAGTATTTCAGCCCTCGTGCTTGCTTCGGCAACCTGGCAGTATTTCAGCCCTCGTGCTTCCCCCGGGAAGTGGGCGCCCTGGTGGTATCCCGGCCCTCGTACAACCATGACATACACAACTAACAATACTCTCATGCCACCATCAGCAGTCGCGTGGTGCCATCAGCCGGGTCGCCCTACTTGCTGCATACAGCAGGGTGAGTTAGCGAAAACATGCTACTGCAGACACCTACCTTCTTACACTTTATCGTTTTCCGTCTTTCACGCTCCCCCGCCCAAGTTTGAATACTTTCTCCACAGGTCCCAGCACTAGGACTGACCGTCTTGCTCGCCCTGCATTACACTTAGCTGCAGCTTCTGTATGTCCGAGTTCAGTCACAAACCTGAACACTTCGAAGTCTGTTTTAAGGCCCCAAAAGCCTGTCTACCCAGCTGCCTTTAATGTTCGCACACTGAAGCAAACAGGTCGACACGTGGCTCCTACTGGTACGCTGGATTCCCTCTGCATTGATGTATGCTGTCTGTCTGTCTGTCGTTTTTTTACCGCTGATGCCTCAGAGGCGTAACTGGCTTTGGGTGGCGTCAACGGATTAGCAAAGAATCGATTAGAAAACAGGTATCGTGCGTCTGGTACTTCAGTAGCGGAAAACCATCGACTTCAATTGCCTAGTCCTGTTCTACGCTATTGTTGCCCTCCGCGCCTGCTCTAGAATAGCGCAAACCGGGGAGATGGGCAACATATGACCTCGAAGAAGAGTGTAAAAGAGATTACGAAGGGTTTGGATGTTGTTGGTGTTGTACGCCGTCCAGGATGGGGTACCCGTGACGCTGCGCGCTCTTAGCTGAAGACATTGCAAGAAATGGCGTTCATGCTGTCGGTTTCTTTTCAGATTGTCTGATTGAACGCTTGCATATGTAAGCACCTCAGAATGATGGACACACGCCAGCACCATGTCCTCCACCGGCCACGCATCCACTCTTTTCTCTTCTTTTTACGTCAAGGCTTTAAACACAATTAGATGAAGTTTATGGCTGTACAGCAATCAAGCATCAGTGTAAACACTGATGTTGCTGTCTCCGCTTACGATGATGATGATTATCACCACACATCGGTCACGACATCGTGCCACTATTCGGGTCACCTTACTCGCTGCATACAGCGGGGTGGGTAAGCGGAAACAGGCTGGTGCTGACGTTTCTTCTTTTTCACATATTCTTCTTTCACCCCTTCCTCACCCCATGGCCAGAGATACCTCCGTCTCTGTTAACCGTTCTGCTCTTTCCAAAACGCATTCACAACAGGGTGTGTTCAGAATTTCGTGAATATCATGCACAGTTTGTATTCCCATACTTATGGGTGCGTGCGAGTGTATGGGGACATGAATTCATGGATAAATACACAGGATGGGGGTTTCGCCCAAGTTTCCCGGGTCGGTTTGTTCTTGTCGTTCAGCGGCCGACGTTCACCTGAAAGGCACAAGTGAAAAAAGGATGTGGCGCTGGACAGTAAGCTTGCCAGCGCGAGGACTTGCATAAAAAAGTCTAATGGTGCTTTGAACTGGGGTTTAGATGGAGCGTGCACGTGGTTATTCCATGCAGCAACTACCCAAAATGAGAAAAATTTTGCCTCATGAAAATGCGCGTTCTGAGCTGGAAAATCTTATCATGTCATCGCCGTGTTTGCTGGGTCAACAGTGAAAACCCTGTTGGCCAAGCCTTGTTCAAACAGGACACGAGTAAGACGTAGGTCCCCTCGGAGGCGACGATACTCCAGGGGAAAGAGGTCAAGCACCATGAGACGCGTTTAATAGTCCATGGACTTACGGCCAACAACCATTTTCGTAGCAGCTCGCTGGACATGCCCAATGACGGTTACGTCTTTCGCCCTAGGCAGACAACTTGGTTGACATATTCAAGAAGCCGTCTGACGTAGGCCCCTTAAAGGATTTGGAAGTCCTTGCGAGTAATACGGGAGAACGTGCGCCGAATGGTTCTTAGGCAGCGAATGTCTTTTGGGCCGATTTCTCATAGCGCAATCAGAAGGACGTTTGAATAGAGTCAGATACCCAAATATTTCCGGCATCTATCCTCGTTGTCTTCTGGTCGATTTTCACCATGCGTGACAAAGGAAGTTGCTGGGTCTCCTCTGAAAGACATATGGAGGCCTTTTTTTCATTCAGAGGAAGGTGCCAGTCTAACAACCATCGCAGTGTAAACTATGCCCTTGAAAGACAAACCAACGTCAAGTCGGCATCCTGGGTGTCGGTGGTCGGCAAAAGCCGACCTGGCCTTCCCGATTCGAAGTAATCTCATATCCAGTCAGTTCACCTAAACATACAACTGTCAGATGAACAAATTTACCTTCCATATTGATTGGCTCGTCTGCAAGCATGAGTTGTGGGATTGACCCTAACAGAATCAAAAGCAGCTTCCAGGTCAAGAATTACCACAGTTGGACGTTTGGAGGAGTGGCGCTGCTCAAATATTCATCTAACTGTAGAGATATGTTCGATGCATCCTCAGCTATGACGAAACCCAGATTAATTCAAACGAATTGTGTAAAATAAAGCCACAGAGCACCTTAAATGGCACCAAGGTTTCAACACGACGTTTCTGTACCATTTTTGAGACCTGGGGTGGCGGTCGAAGGGATCTATTCGGCTGCTATTGTTTTTGCTCCAAGTTTTCTGTACTATGCTAGTCAGACTGTTCACCGCAGTACCTTCTTCAAAGTTTGCGGGGTACAGACCATAGAAAAAAGTCGTGGTCCTTGTGGAATAGGGCGCAAATTGACGAATAAGGCAAAAATTTTAAGTTTAAATTTTTGGAAAATAAAATTAGCAGTAATTAGAAAATTAAATGGTTTTGGGGGATGGTGATATCCCCAACACCTCTCTTTGAGTGTGGTGTAGCGTGGCTGTATTTGATCAATCTGGAAAGGATCCGTTTTACTTAAGCGGCGATCGGTGCATCTTCTTGGGAGAAAATTCTGGGTTATATGTGGGGTTGAATGGGCTACCACTGATTTAAACAACTGGTTGAGTATAATAGCTAAAACGGGACGCGGCTGTTCCGTGTAGCAAAAATGGTAACCGGCCTTAAATTCGTGGACTACGAAACGCCTCACGCGGTGCTTGACTTTTTTACTCTGGAGTATCGTAACCTCCGAGGGGGCCTAATTCCCACTTATGCCCTGTTTGAACAACGCTTCGCCAAAAGTACTTCCACCGTTGACTCAGCAAACACACGTCAGAGGCATGGTAAGATTCTCAAGCTCAGAGCGCACACTTCCGTCAGGCCAAACACTTTCTCATTTCGGGTAGTTGCTATGTGGACTAACCTTCCTTTGAAAGTTATCTTCGCTGCATCTAAAGCCCAGTTCAAAGCATCATCAGGCTTTTTTATGCGAGTCCCCGTGTGTGCAAGCTTACGGTCCCGCGCTGAGAGCTTAAATAGCACTTGTGCCTTTCAGGGGAGCGGCGGCCGCTGAACGACAAGAAAAAAACGACTCGGCGACTTGGGCGAAAGCCACGATCGTGTGAATCAATCCATGCATCGATTCTCCATCTCGTGGGCCTTCGAAATCCACCAGAGTTCTCTGTCATTATTCGAGCTCCTGATCATCCAGTGTTTGGGGGCCTGTGTGCACCAGCCTAGTCGCTAGTTCCTGGTATAGCCTTTCTGGCAGCAATCAGATCTGCTGATTTCGAAATCGTATGGTGCATATTTGGTCGAGTCAGACTGTCTTGGCAAATATTTTCGAAAGCTGGGAGCATTGCTTCTTTAACTCACCTTCATTGGAACTTTGATCAATCTTCTTCATCCGCATGACCGTCTGTTCACAGCAGCTTTGTAGCCAGCTCAGCTTCATACTCTTCAGCCACTAAAACTTGTCGGAGATGATGAATGGCGCTGTTCTCCCCTTGCATCTGTAACGTTGACGGAAAGCGAAGTGCTAACCTGGCTCGTACGTGACCAGAGTCAACTTGTCTATCATAGAAAGGGACAACAATAATTAGGTGAGGCTGTCCATCGGTAACTGGTATCTACGTGGTCTACTTGAGTCTACCACCCTGGTGCGGCTGGTGGTTTCCAAGTAACTGCATATGAGTGTTTTATTTAAGACGACTTCGCTCGTTAGCAACTAACGATGATTAGCAATCAACTGAACAGTCAGTCATCATTATCCGTACGCTCAGTACCAACTGCAAATTTACCACTGAACTGTGCTTCTTTTGATATTGTCGTCCAAAATGCGCATTCATATCACACGCCAAGATTGTAATATCCGTCCTTCTTGCTAGCCAAAGCATTCCTGGAAGATCTTGACAACGCTTGTCTTCCCCAGTCCCAGAACCGGGGTCTGTCGGGGCATATGCTGATACAAGAAATAAGCACAGTTTACCGAAACCTTATACTACGAAATTCGGTCCATCAGGCCCATCAGAGAATCAGACTCGCCAGAACCAGGCCCGCCGGAGCTGGATCAATCATCGCTTCGAGACAATTGCTGGAACTGTGCCACTCCTCCTTACAACAAACAGTGTTTGTATTCCTCGATCTTAAGTCTTCTTTGGACTCCGCTGGCTGTCAGAAACTGTAGCTGTCTGGCAGTGCCTTGTAATTTATAAAGGTGCTGCGTGCCTCCTCTCGTAAACGGGTAACCGATATGCGTTTGAGTTTTCTCTACTTGTTTTTAACATCTGTCGGGTCGAAGCGAACGAAAACATTCAGCAGACCAACGATATTCCCCTCTTTGATGAGACCCCTCGATCGCCCTCCACTGCTTCCTCCAGTTGGGGCTGGGAAGACGTCGCATGTGTCGTGTCATCGGCGAATACAGTTATCTTAATCGAGGTAATCATGGTGGTCACCGGTGACAGGAATATCCTCAGTGGTAGAGATGGAGGAAGGCTAAGTAATCACAGACTGACTGACGGGTTGGTCACGCCTTAACGACCAAACTATTGCTGGAGTACCATGAATGTGAACTTGAGTTAAGTCCAGGATCATCAGAATAATTGCTAAATTATTTGAATTTTCGGATGCCAAACCAAATCATTTACGGAGGCGAGTGAGACCCGACTAGTTAGAATGAAACAACAAATAGACGTTGAATGGTCATACATGTGTTCATGTGCAAAAAAGTCGGCCGAAAGTCGGTCGTCGAACCGAATGGTATGCCAGCAGTGAGCGGTACTATCCCTTGATGCTACAAAATCCACTTCAGGTCGTCGAACCGAATGGTATGCCAGCAGTGAGGCAGTCTACCATGAAGTCTGCATTACCAAAAGGAAATCCACGTTAACTTCAGTGTCAGAGTAATGCATGGGCAGAACTGTCAGCATGGGTAGGCTTCATTCGAAAGAGGGTGCATGATCGACAGGAAAACGTAAAGGTACTTTAAAATACCGTGGAGATGAGTGGCGCAACACAATGAAAACCCCTTGGTCATTAGCATACGAGAAAGCATGTACGCGGCTGTGGTTGCCCTAATTATATTTATGATGCCAAATAAGAGCTCTGCATGGTCCATGGTAACGTCGCAAAGAAGGCCATTATCAGTTGAGACTGGCGAACGCCGAGAGACGGTTGAGAAAGATGAAGAGCACAGGAGCGTTGGATCGGTACACTTACTGGCATTGGTTTTGTCTGACTCGGCAAACTCTACACAAAGTAAATGAAGCGTTTTGTTCAAAATTAACTCCGCCCGCAGTGATCTGTCTTTCATTATCATTCCGCAAAAGCGAAATACAACGACTGAAAATGTCTTATTCGGATTTACGCTAGAATGGGTGTTATAAATAAATGCTTCCGGTCTCCGAGGGACATTTGATGAGACAATTGACAACCGGGCGATAAGTGTTCGTCTCAGTGTAAGCACAACACTGCATGTCTTGGAATAACTTTGAAGCAAACTGTGGCGATGGAAGGTGTGGGACGGTTGAACCGAGGGCACACTTCGCTGTAACTTCCTAAGGCCATCGATTAAAAGGGATGGTAAAACTATGTACATAAAGGAAGTCGACAGAGGTGAAAAAGGCCCTACAATCTCCAAGTATGTATAAATCTGCCGTGGTGCGGATGCCCATGATGGAAATGATGCGCTGTTTGCGGGTGATATGTCTTCAACCATTATCTAGTATCCCTCACAGCATTTGGTAAAGCGAAACACTCATTCACGTTTTCATGTACAGTGAGGGTGATGGTAACCAAAAACTTCCCTTTCGTGATTCATCGGAAGAGTTCCTGGATTGTCGGAAGGTGGTACCGAAACAGGGCAGGAGAGCGGATCTCCCATGAGTGGCCGATGGAACAACGGTCGTTCCCTCTGGGGGTTGTCTAGTTCCTAGCCTACGGTAGATTTCAACCTCAACGAATTTCGGAAGCCAGCATTGAGTTACGCGGCAAGATCACTAGCTAGTTTGATAAACACTGCCAGCGGAAAACTGGAATCTTGGACTAAAATGAAGGGATTTTCATGAGGAGCATTCCCTGAAGCGCTACAACTGTGGCAACTGACAAGCAAAACCATTGAGGGATGAGATTCCAGATTTTTGAATAAAACGAGGTCTGTCAGGTGGCGCCGAATGCAGATAGGACACAAGCAGTAAAACGGAAGGGACGAGATCTTGCTTGGGGACTCATTAGTAAAGTGGCTATGTCTGCGCAATGTGGAGCCCAGGAACAATGGTGGTTTCCGCAGATTTGAGGATATATCATTCCACAAAATCGTTGTTTCTTTTGTATGGAAGTGATTCTGAAGCTATTAGTAGGAAGTCTAGGGAAATGAAAAGGCGTTTAGCAGAAACAAACCTAATGCTATAACGCTCTAGGCGTGCGGCAAGCTGGCGCGGGTCGATTCATTAGTCTTTCACAGTGCTACCGGCGAACAGAGTGTCAGAAATAGGAAATAAGTAAAGTCCTGACTTCGAAGAAATGGATCGATAAACGTATGGACGGTTTGGGAGGCATTGACTCTCCCGAAAGACATGATAACGAATACCCGCGGGTCGAAATTAACGGTTTCCACAGTGATGTCTTTGGAACGCAACCACCTTAATTCAGGTGTAGTTCGTCATACATGGGCAACACACCGCTGTCTTTGGCTGCAAAAGGTGCAGCTCTAAAGCATCCAACTAGCTCCATGTTACGTTTAGGTGGGAATTCCTGATGGACTGAAATACACGACAGGCGATTAAATCCATCAGTGCTTTCTGTGGGTTTATTCGTGCTGAGTGCTCTCTGGTTGAGGGGGCAAACCCACACTTCATCGGTTGGAATGAACCCAATGACTTCTGCAGTACTGTAGTTACGCTATTTGCTCAGCTTAGTTCTCGGTCTGAGCCTCCCGAGGTAGCGTTCGCGCCAAAACAGCCACCAAAGATGTACAAGGTATATGAACGCCCAAAACGAAGTAAGGAACACTTGTACAATGCTTCATATATGTAGCTTAGGCGGCAATAGTTTTCTGGAAATTCTGACGCCATCTGGATGCACCGTTGGCAAACGGCATCCGACCTAAACTTGGTCGTGATTGGCTATTGGGTCTAGCCTTTCGACCAACCAGCTGTCGGCTTGCAACCGGACCGGCAAGCGTCCTAAATTCTTGGCCAGTCTTGCGTGGGATGGGCTTCTCGGCCGTAGCAGCACCTCAGTGCGGACAGTAAACCGGGATCTATGTCGAATTCTGCCCAACACATACCCCTTGAAATTTGTTGACGTAGCATCGAAGCCGAGGGTTCACTTGCAGCGGCCTCATTGGTTTGCGGATCCTGTCTGTCCAGCGTCGCAGTTGTAATCCGTGCTCAGGCTATGCCTCCGACGAAGCGGCTGATTGATTTTCTGGGATGCTGCTGAGTGTAAAAGTGTCCAGAAGCATTTCTAGACTCAACCCACTCGGTCCTGTGGGCAGGATCTGTGTAAAAGTCGGCCGAATTTGGTTTGTGTGGCGCGGATTCACGGATTGATACACAGGATCGTGCTTTAAACGGGTTCCAGAAGGAGCGTGGACAACCGTCGGAGGAAGGTCATTCCACGCAGCTACTACCCGAAATTAGAAAAAATTTTGTTCAATGAATGTGTGTGCCCTGAGCTTGAAAAGTTTCTTACTATGTCCCCGCCGGGTGTTTGCTGGGTCAACGGTGAATAGCCTGTTTGCAAAGATTTGTTCCAACAGGGCGTAAGTAATTGTTAGGTCATCTCGGGGTCGACGGTACTCCAGGGAAAGAGATCAAGCATCACGAGACGCGTTTCGTAATCCACGGATTTGAGGCCGGCAACCATTCTCGTGGCGGCCCGCTGGACACGCCCAATGAGGGTGACGTCTTTCTTACGTCCTGAGTAGACAACTTGGTTGGCGTACTCCAGGAGCGGTCTGACGCAGGCCCCATAGATTATTTGGAAGTCCACGCGAGTAATACGGGAGAAGATGTTTCGGATCATCCGTAAAATGGCGAATGCCTTTTGGGCCGATTTCCCATGGTGTAGTGAGAAGGACAAATTTGAGGAGACCCAGATGCCGAAATCTTTTTTGGCATTTATCCTCATGATGTTTTCTGGTCCTCTTTTCACCATGCATAACAAAGTCATTCACTGAATCCCCTCCAAACGACACATGGACGCACTTTTCATCATTCAGAGGAAGGTGCCAGACCAACAACCACTGCTTGGCAGCGTCTACATCCATTTGGAGGGCACTGGCATTGGAACTCCAGGATTTCAAGTCGTCCGCAAAAAGTAAACATGGACTCGCGAGAATGTCTGGGAGGTCGTTGACGTAGATCAGAAACAGGAGTGGTCCTAAGACG